AGAGGGGGGGGGGAATGTCTCATTTAATATTTGTCATCGTCATTGAAAAGAAATGCACATCTTCCAGATAAATACAGTAACACACAAAAACATAAACATATTATTTGAGATGTAACAATAAAAGAAAACAGTAAGAGTACACAATGACATACATTATTCATACACAGAGCACACAATATTTATATCATAATTATACTTACCATATTTACTGTGGACGGAGGAACGCGCACAACACAGATTCAAAATGAAAAAGTAGAGAAGTCTGTCAAGAGATCTAGAGAGAGAGGTAGCCGCCTTGTCACTGACCACACCAACAGAGTGAATGGAAACCCACGACGCCGGTTGGCTGCTGAAATAGGCAGATCAAATATCTTTCACATACGGCTTAGCTCCGAGGTGACGAGAGGGCCTTGGTGACTCGCCAGCGGCACGACGCGCGAGGGCAAGGGGTTAGCGGACGGGGGGGACGGGCCAGGTATGGGGCTCTACCGGCTTGGCGGGAAAATAAATACTAAACAGGCGAGACATTGGGTGGTGGGTGGTGGGTAGTCCGTCCGGCCAGGTCACACACACAGTGACACACACACAGACAGAGGTGCTCGGGATAGAAGGCGCGGAACTCCAGTTTGATTATCAGTGATCGGAATTAATTGTGATTGTTAGTGTTTTAAGTCCCCATCGACACAATTGGTCGCTTTTAAGCACAAGGGGGCTATCCCGAAAAACGCTGTTTTGAGAAAATCGAAGGTTAAGTTTTGCCCCTTGTTCAGTTTCTTTAAAAGACAAGGAGAGTTTTCTCTCTATGACTAAACAAATATACACACCAAAGGAACCAGACTTTTGAGGTAAGTCAAGATTTCTGGAAACCCCCAAAATCTGGGCTAGCCCGCTTGTCCTTAAAAGCGACCAATTTAGATCGTTCAGGAGGTAGAAATGATAATATATAGCATTTGTATAGATTTAGATACGAACGCCCAAGGACATAAATGATGTTAGCAGATATCTCAGATAGTAGAGTACATTGAAAATTGGTTTGGAGGTTAACATCTTTATCGAGAAATGTGGGGCAGTCTGCTTGATGGTGCTATAAAAGAAAAAAGCCCATCAAACCATTTTCTTTTGCTCAAACTAAATTTAAGCTCTGTCTCTGTGGTCAGTTGCATGCGTACTCTTAAAAAACGGCACACCCCCAGGGCGGTGCTACTGACTGAAGTGGCTTTAGGCCATTCCCAAAGGGGGGACGTTAACCATGTTCTAATGCACAGTAGAATTGTAATTGTAAATGGGCGGATTCATCAATATCATGCTCATAACTGTGCCTGAACTGCATCAGGGAACTGCTGCTTTTTCTTTCCTAATCATTACTTTCGTCATTTTGTCCTCTATTTCTTTTGTATGTTCGTCACACTCTTGTGACAGGCTATTTACGAGGTTCCTTGAGAGTCGAAGCCGACTTTTTGCTATTGAAGCTAGAGAGGTGAGCAGAGTAAGCCTGATTCCCTGTTAGGGCTTCTCTGTTGACATCCACCTCTTGGCGCTCACTCATATGACCGTATGCAGTTGCGAGCGTCGTAAAACTTCTACTGTAACAACAAAGCAAAAAACTATAGCTAAGAAAAAGAATATAGCTAGGCTACTAGCTACCTTTTCTCTCCTATACTAAAACGTGACCACTCTGTCCTCTGGTTTCCTTCTCTGCACTTGGGACAGGATTAAGGGACAGAAATTAGACCCTTGGGCGTAAGGATGGCGTAAGTTCTTTAGCGTGGACGCTGTCATCTCAGGGGAGGTTATTGTCGCGTCGATTCTTGCTTCTTCTGCCCTCTACGCAATGTAAAATGTTGATGACCTTGTCTTGCCGTGGCTCCTATTTGAGAATTTCCGTCTACACACTCATAGACTCACATACGCCAACACACACACACACACACACACACACACACACACACACACACACACACACACACACACACACACAC